AACAAGCCGTGACGGGCACCCGATCATTAAACATGACCGAGCGAACCATCCGTGCTTATCAAATCTATTATAACTTCAAACTTTATATGCAACAAGGCAATACTTTAACCAAATACTTTTGATTAATTTAAATATTTAAAATAAATCAAATCCAAAACTTTATTCGTAGTAACTACTGAATACTGCTAAATTATTACCCAAAAATATCTAAATCTTAACCCACCGACTGTGTCTATGAAGCCTCTACTGATAAACTGATGCACTGATCAGGACATGAGATTTCCTGGTCAGTTCTCTAAGTAAATAAAGAAATAACTAAATAAAGATGACTCTAAGTAATACTCCATGAACAAAAGTGGAGCTCACCAACAACACTGGAAGGGAGAGAAGTCCTAAAATGTAGCCTAGTCGCCTGCAAAATCGGTTCCTACGTTGTATCGTAGACCAACGTAGGATCCCAAAAGAGAACGTCAGTACCATCCATTGTACTCAGTGAGTCTAAACGACAAGGGACGAAACTTTAATAAAATATATGTTGCGAGCAAAGATTCTAAATGCATGGGAAACATAAAGCTTCTAAGAAGAATTCTAAAATAATTGCATAATAGCACTTTATGAATATTCTAAAAGAAAGTCTTTTATTTTTCATTTAAAAAAAAATACTTCAGTTCGTACTTCGGGAGTTTCAACTATCCTGACTTATTTCTGTCTAGTCACCGTGTGATCGGCACGGGTTCGATCCTAACCTGATCGAATAGGCCCAATCCACTAGGTGCCATTCGATTCATGGTTCTCAGCTCTCATGTACCATACTTTAGCTTGGCTAGGCAAATTCTCAGAAACGAGACCCTTGGTTCGTGTGCTCCCTACTTTGGCAAAAGTAGTTCCAGAAGTCAACGCCTTGGCCAGGATCCTCAACCTGGACGATGACCCGTTCTCAGAATAGAGGATACTGCCGAAAATCATTTCTTTCTAAAACTTCTTCTTGTGACTTTTCAAGTCTAAATCTTTCAAACATACTTATTCTGAAATCCTTAAAGGTAAGGTATGGCATAAGAATGAAATAAACATTCAAAATTATTTCTAAAGATTCTTGCTTCTTCATGAATTTTCAACATGAAAATGGCATATAAGAATAACACAAAAAAAAACTGCAAATTTATGCACATATATCAAAATAATCATCTAAACTTTAGCTAGAAAATAACTCTAAGCTAATAGGTACTTACTCACTCCAATTAAGTATATATTAGCTCTTTTATGCAATTTATCAAACACCTTGTATGCATGCTTTTGTGAGTTAAACCACTTAAATAATGGGGTATATCAACTCAAATCAAAAGTCATTGAGCCAATACGTAGGCCTCAGTCCAATTTATACCCGTCAACAATTGATTCTACAACAACCAGTGCATTTGGATTAATTTCAAAATTTCACACCTAAACATGGAACTTACTGTTGATACATAGGAAGAAGGGAATAAACTATTCAATTCTTACCTTACTACTGTAGGATAATTGTTAATAGGAAATTTTATATACTTGAGTTCAAGAATAAGTGAGTTATGAAGAACCCTAAAAATTTTCGAGCAATTTCTGGTTGCCTCTGGTCGATCCGTGCGACTGTGTGTGTATGTGTTCTGTAAGGCATTAAGCCTTTTTTTGTTTTGTTTTGTTTTGTTTTGTTGGAATAAGGCTTCTACCCTTTTGCCCTTTTGAATGAGAATTAAGTACTTCTCATTCCAAGCTTTAAGCCCTTTGTTTTGTTTTGTTTTATTATTTTATTTGTTTTCCCTTTTTTTTATTTAACTAGTATTTAATTATACCTTCTTTTAATAATTATAACATTAAAATTATTAATATTTCCCTAATTGTATATCCAATTATTTATAAATAGAGAAGTAACTCAAAATCAATCACAAGGTTTTTAATCCGTATTAGAAATATAATTTAAGATTATAAAAATTAAATTCTATATTTAACGGATCTTGTAACTTTTATAGATTTGAGGAGTGTTAGATAAACCTTAGCCTCGATTACCTAGTGTAGATTAGCAACAACCAAACAAGTGATCAATTGCTCTAAGATATTGGATCAGAGAGTGGAAAAAAGATGCATTAGATATAATCGTGTTCCGGTTACCCAACCTATTGAAATATCAAGTTGTGACATCATTGACTGAAAATTGGTTTTTTCTTTGTCTGAATCTGAAATTACGAAGGTCATATTGATTTAACTTCAATGCAGCTCTAACCTGATATGGAAGAGAAAGAGCCTCATTGAAGATAACATGATTGTTTGAAAATTCAACCAGATTAGCCAAGTAGTCTACAATCTTATTCCCCTCTCTAAATACATGAACAAACTTGAATTTTCCAATCTTGGTAGTATCCCAAATCTGCTCCCAAACATGTGATAAATTTGTCTGTAAATTTTTTATTTGACTATTTCTTAAGTCGAAATTTAGCTCACTAAAATATCGATATAAACATTTTAAAGAGTTGCGCCATTCGACTATGCGAGGCAAATAATACCATTTCTCTTGACACCCAATTTCCAGTCATGCTGGATTTGCACTGAACCCAAAAGGATTTATGGGCTAGTGATGCGGGTAACTTCGTGGACCAAGCCCGTGTTGGGGGTTATGAAGCCCATTGACAGTCACGGAGATAATCTAGTGAAAATAAACGGGCTAGCCAGTTTTCGGACTGATAATTAAAAAATAGTCAGCGTTTGCAAAGTACCAGTATAATATACTGGAGATTGGTACAACTGCGTATGAACTTCCAGCATATTATGTTGGACCAGTATATTATGCTGGAAGTTCACATGTAAAAAATTCAAACTCCGATATATTATGCTGGAATATTTTTTGGAATTTTGTGTTCGTTCAGATTTATCTTTACATGAAAAGTGGCTAAATTTCTATTACTTTTGAAACTGTGGCTATTTTTCAGTTACCACTTGAAAATCTAGCTATTTTTGAATTTTACCCGATAATCTAGGAAAAATGACATTGTATAGCCGCTCTCAAAATAATAGTAAAAAAATAAATATATTTTTTATATATTTTTCGTATATATATTAATTATACAAATTTTATACACTATTTTGGCTATAGAATAATGTAAATAGTTTCTGGGGCGAGCTAAAAGTGATAATAGCCCGATGATATACAATACAGTTTAGTACTCTCTATTATTGTACAATTTTTTACTCTCTATTATGTAGAGTTCACTAATGTATCACGCTTACCCCAAAAAAAAAAAAAAAGGACTAATGTATCACAACTAATTCAAATAATTAGAACTTTCATAGATGTCTCATAACAAAGATTCCTATTAAACTCATATTCCTATTTTATTTCCTTAATTCCAAAGAAAAAAATTAGTCTATTGTTGTATTTTCAGTTTCAAAATACGCTTTCACCTAGTATAATTTTATAATAAACCAATTAGTTGAGATTTAGTTGCCAAGGGAGATTGAAAGGTATTGAAATGCATTCCTGGGCAACACAAATTTTTGTCTGTGTACATGAGTTGCAGTTCTTAATTTCTTATTGGTAACATTAATTATTATATTGCGACTATTTTGGATAGAATTTAAATTATCATAGAATTAAAATCAATTATAGAATTTAAATTATCATAGAATTAAAATCAATCAGTACAAATGGGCACTAGTTAAAACTAAGACGAGGACTGTTAATCAATACAATGGGCAGAAATTAAAGGACACAGAGTGTACTACATATGAAGTTTAAAACTTGTGTCATTTAATAATTTGAACGGCTAAAAATTTAAGTATTGAGAACATTGATTTCTTAATGGTTGAACAGCCATATAATTGCGTAAAAACTATTGAAAATTTTGTACTATGTGACCTTAAAAAACAAATACTATATATTATATTATATTATATTATAAATTTGGTTTGACTTGCGTTATCAGACACATCTAGAGGGTTCTTAGGCTTGATTTATTATATTATATCATCCAAGATAAACTTGGTTTGACTTGCGTTACCACACACATTTTCTTTTCTTTTTTCTTAATTGGTTTGATCAGTTTAAATGTTGAAAACGACTATCAAATGAGATATAGATCTTTTCTTTTTTTGGTTGGCAAAGAAAATACCGAATTTATAAATACACTTTTTAATAGATGTTTGGTTCATTAATAAAATGAAATTTACAATAATCATGTGTAAAGACCTTGATTTCTCATTCATTCTTCAGCTAGAATTCCTTTCCACTTATATTTCCTCAAGGTTTCTTATTCTTCATTATTCACGAGCTCACGTCATTTGAGAAAAAAAGAAGAAAAAAAAAGTACGCCATTATTAAAGTTGCCAAAACAAGGAAGTAGGGACAATACTAAACAAAAAACAGAGGATAATACTATGAAGTTTCTTAATAATTGAATGATAATAATTGAATGGTCTGGATATTTTTCTTAATTTGTCGAACAATAAACAAGGGACAATATTACAATACTAAGAAAGCTTCTTTAATAATTATCTCCTCCGGTCCATATTAATTGTCGTAGTTACTAAATGTATCTGATCTAAAATAGTTATCATTTTAGAAAATTAGGGTATAATTAATTACTTTTTATGTTATTTTATTTTGCCCGTAGTATTAAATGTTCTTGAAAGTAAAAACATTGACTATAGATAAAAATAAAAATAAAATATAAAGAGTATTAAATAAGAGTATAATAATAATAAAATTTCTTAAGAAACATGTAAAAGAAAAATACGACAATTAAAATAGACAAGGGAGTAAACAATATAATTGAATGGTCCGATTTATTTTCTTAATTTGTCGGATTGCAATTATTTTCAAAATAACATTACTATAATTAATCATAGATATTTTCTATGGGCTTTTGCCGCTCCTTCCATTCTTGTCCAAACCATGTACTCCAATAACTAGCGAATAGCCCACTGCTTCCCTATTGTCCCCCCCCCCCCCCAACCTCCCCCCCACCCCCCCTATCAGTCTCTGTTCTTCCTCCACAACATTATTGCAATCCTAAGCTAAATCCCAAAATTCCCAAATCCCGTCGACATCTCCACCATCTCACCCATGTCTCCTTTACACCTTGCGTTTTCACTACCCTGTTTAGAATTGACTATACGAATATTCTATATAGTATTACCCTTTTAAAATAAATATCCCATAATTATAAACCTCAGTTCTTGCATCTGCTTTTCACTACAAAACCATTTCCCTCTAACCTTCTTCTACTTTATGAAAGAATCAATGAATCAATCAAACCAAGAAACCGACCATATGATGGACGGTACGAGAAACATCATATTCGGAAAATACGAGATGGGTAGGCTTTTAGGTCAAGGAACATTTGCCAAGGTTTATTATGGCAGAAATATCGAAACCTCAGAGAGTGTAGCTATTAAAGTAATCAACAAAGACCATGTTCAAAGAGAAGGTTTAATGGAGCAAATCATTCGAGAAATTTCAATCATGAGATTAGTTCGACATCCTAACATAGTTGAACTGAAAGAAGTCATGGCTACAAAGCAAAAAATCTTTGTTGTTATGGAGTATGTTAAAGGTGGTGAGCTTTTCGCTAAGATTGCTACAGGAAAACTTAAGGAAGATGTAGCAAGAAAATACTTTCAGCAATTAATAAGTGCTGTTGATTTTTGCCATAGCCGTGGTGTATTTCATCGTGATTTGAAGCCTGAAAATTTACTTCTTGACGAAAATGAGAATTTAAAGGTTTCAGATTTTGGGCTTTCAGCTTTGTCTGAGCAATTAAGGAATGATGGTTTGTTACATACACAGTGTGGAACTCCAGCTTATGTTGCACCTGAAGTTCTTAGGAAAAAAGGATATGATGGAGCTAAATCAGATATTTGGTCTTGTGGGGTAATTTTATATGTTCTTTTGGCTGGTTTTTTACCATTTCAACATGAAAATATGATGAAAATGTATAGGAAAGTTTTTAAAGCTGAGTATGAGTTTCCACCTTGGTTTTCTCCTGAAGCTAAGAAGCTAATTTCAAAGCTTTTAGTAGCTGATCCAGAAAAAAGAATTTCAATTTCTGCTATAATGAAAGTTCCTTGGATATTAAAAGATTTTAGCAGATCAAATTCTTTTTCAAGTGGAGAAAATGGTGATCAGAAAAAAGGGAGCACAGAGCAGTTAGACTTGGGAAATAGATCAAAGTCAGGTCCACCTTTTTATAATGCATTTGAATTCATATCAGCAATGTCTTCAGGGTTTGATTTGTCAAGTCTTTTTGAAAGTAAGAGGAAATCTGGTTCAATGTTCACATCTAAATCCTCAGCTTCAACAATCATGTCAAAGTTAGAATCTTTAGCCAAGAAGATGAATTTTGAGATTGAATCTAAGGAATTCAAGGTGAAAATGCAAGGAACATCCGAGGGGCGAAAAGGTAAATTATCAGTAATCGCGGAAGTGTTTGAAGTTGCACCAGAAGTGGCTGTTGTTGAATTCACTAAATCTGCTGGAGACACATTTGAGTATAGGAAATTGTGTGAGGAAGATATACGGCCTTCTCTCAAAGACATTGTTTGGACATGGCAAGGTGAGAATGATGGCAGAGACTAAACTGCAATGCTACTTTACTCCATTGTAAATTATAGGTTCTTGTTGGAGTTATATGTACCAAACACAACCATAACATTTTACTTTATTCAAGTTGTGTATCTAACTTGAGTATGTGAAAACTACTCCATATTCCAGAGACGAATCCAGATTTTAAATTTAGTGGACTCAATGCAAGTAATATCTTATTATATTATGTATATATACATTCTAATTTTTTCCGCATAGTTCTAGAATGCAATATGTGCGTTACAGTTGAACCCACGCAATCAGCCCTGAATCAGCCAGCAATTTGACGGTGTTATGTACTCATCTTATTTTAGTTTTTCTTTTTCATTATGTGCATGAATGAGATATGGTAGACTCTTTGCTATACAGATTTGGGACATTTCCCTTTTAGAGATTCAAACATTATGAAGTTTGATCATATTGACATGAGACTTGTAACTTATAGTGCTTTTCAGGGGTGAAATTATACCCCAATATATCGGGTACGTGAACCCATGGTGTCTCCATCAAATTAGGTATTTTATGTACATATTTTTTAAGAATTGATCTAATACTATCTGCTCGCACTCATGTTCCAATGAGACTAAATGGTGCACTTGGTTGAGCAAGGATCGATTTTCACTTAATACATTTTTTTTCGCTTTCTTTCTAAATCTGCCTTTGGTGATTTTCATAACAGGCTCGTTTGTTCCGAATATTTTTGGATGTTATAGCGAAATGTTGTTACATAGAACGTATATTATAACATAACACGAAAATTGGTTTCGGAAAAACTTAGTTTTTATAGTGAACTGTTGTTATATGAGGATGCTGTTATAGAGAGGTTTGACTGTATCTAAATTTTAGTTTTAAAATATTAAGTTGAACTAATCCAATTTAACTTTAAAAATTAAAGAAATTAACTCTTGAGATGCAAAATATCATATAAATTGAAACAAATGGATTAATTTGGTGGAGGAAATTTTTTGTGATGTTGATTCTACATAATGGAACCATGGGCTGCAACTGACCCCACCTGCTTGTACTTTGTATCTGGATAGTTTGTAGAGTAGATATTATCTACACGAGCATATGTGGTGGTGAAGTAGTTGTCGTGGAGTCGAATCAAAGGGCAGTTGGGTAATGGCTGTTACTGTACCAGAATATGGTCCACTGTGAATTGAGTTGCTGCGCACGCTTGTGTAGTCCTCTGCATAGGATCAAGAAATTTCTTGTGGGGTTACGTACAGGAAACATTTAACTGACTAACTGATTTACTATTGCTAGATGGAGGAAATTTCTTCAGTTCAGGTACTGAAGTCCTTGCAATCATTCCTGTCTTCTGTTCAGATTTACCTCAATGCCTTGGCACAAGAGCTCACTAAAATCACCTTATTTTGAGAAGTGTTTTTCTCAAAAGTATTTTTGGTGAGAAGCAGTTTGTGTCTGGCTAATTAATTTGAAAAGCACTTTTGAGCAGCAGTTAGTGTTTGGCCAAGCAATTAGAAGTGTATTTTTTTCTAAAATGTTTTTCAAAGAAGTGTTTTTGGAGAGAAGCTACTTTTTTCTGCTTCTCCTCAAAAGCACTTTTTTTTTCTTCCAAAAGCTTTGCCAAACACTTCAACTTTGAAAAAAAACACTTTTTTGGAACAAAAAGTGCTTCTAGGATTGGATAAGCTTGGCCAAACAGGCTATAAGTCTAAAACTTTACTATTCCCTCCGTTTCAATTTATGTGAATTTATTTGATTGTGCACGAAGTTAAAGAAATTATTACATAAATTATTGAGTTCGAAAGAGAAGACTTTTGAACTTATGGTGTAAAATGAGTCACATATATTTTGTGTGGTTACAAATTATTGCGTAAAGGTAAATTATTTGAAAAGTATTCGTTCTTTTTGGCACGGACTAAAAAGAGAATAGTTTCATATAAATTAAAACGGAGGGAATATATTTTTTTGTAAAATTTAATATTAAATGTTCAATAAACTATTCGTGTATAAAAGTTAAAAAGATACTCTTGATATCTGCCGAAAGGAAAAGTCAAATTCTCGAGCTCTGATAAGATAGAGATTTGTGTAATAACTTTACCTGTACGACTGTAGCTCTTACCATATATCATCCGCTAAAGTTCAGTTTTAAAAGTGCAATTCAAATAATTACGTGGTTACACAATTGGAATTGGAAATTCGAAGTCATTTCTGTCTAAGTTGAGTTTTCATATCGTCAAATATTAAAACAGATCTAAAAAGGTGAGCTTTATTCAGATAATTCCAAAGAGGAATGTTCGGGCAGGGAAACAAAGCCTCTGCAACCATGATGTTGCTCGACTGATTGCTATAGAAAGAGAAAAAACAAAAATAACACGCCACAATTACATCCAAATAAAGGGTAACATATGGCAATGCATAAGTAGAGATAATATTGTATGGGTCAAAATCTGAACAGACAAGAATATGCGTGGAAAGGGAGGACAAAACGTTACTTGGGCCAAAGTCGTATCCGTACAATACTATAATGACACACACCTCGGCCACGGTCGAGGTCATGTATTCGGAACGCTTGAGCGGCGAATTGGATGTTACGACGTTTCAAAGTGTCAACCAGTAAAATAGTCAAATGACTTAAGTACTATGACCGTTGGGTAAATGAGAGGACCTAGTATATAAACTAAGTGAGAAGAAGAAGAACTGGGGGGTTGAAACAAATCACACACACAGAGATGTTTTCTAAGAAGAGGAGGGATCATCATCTCTCTCTCCCCCCACGAAGGAGAAAGAAGTAAGGAAGCTCGGATCCTCAATATGTATCGTTAGTCTCATCATAACAAATGTATGGGGTTCAACTTTGTAAAGATCGGTGACCCTTTTTATCCATGTATTCTTCTCTATTGTTTAATATTATGAAAATCACCATCATCTTCTTATATAATAGGGATTCAATCAAAGTTATAGCTAAATCTTATGTTCGCTATGTTCGCTTACTCTTATCTTCTATCTTAGATCTGGAGTAAATTATCTTTGGCTAGGATTTATCTAAAATCTTCTTAGTTAATTAGTTTAGCAAAAAGCTTAACACTTTTTGGTAAAACAATTTGGTGCCGACTGTGGGGATTTTCTAGCCAAAATTTTATTTCCCTCTAGATCTGAAGTCAGCTAGAGTTTCACTCCCCGGCTGTCGCAGCCTCGCCGTCTCATTATAAAACACCAACTTGAGAAAGTTGTAGACACGCTTTTGAAATAACTGAATCAACCAGGGTCAAATCTTTGCATCAAATCGGAATTATGCCTGATATCTATACAAAATCCACGTCCTGCTGTAGCGATAGGTTTTGGTACGTAGTGAGTATGAGCTGTCAAAAGTGGGATTATGGCCACTACGCGCTGAGCACGTCCGCAATCCTATTTGCTATATTGATGTTAGATATCGACCTGTGCTTAATGCACATCTCTCTCTCTCTCTCTCTCTCTCTCTCTCTCTCTCTCTCTTAGGAAGGGACGATAGCCTATTGTGTGATTCTTTGAAATAACAAGCTTGTCCTGCCTTATTTTCGTACCCGTATGCACAGAGTATAACTTATGTACGGGGTATAACTTATGTTTCCCTTATTTTTGTGTACCTGGGACGAGATCGGACCGGGACTCGAGCTCGAAATCCCAACGGGCAAAGTAAGTTGTCAGCCCGCAAGAAGCCTGGACACGACTAAAGGTGAAGCTAAACAGCCGTCATTCGAGTACGGGACGAAACGAGTCATTCTACAGCGCCCCTCCCCCCTCGCCAACCAATCGGGTCAAGGTAATAGACGATTTCGTTTGGGTTTAACTTGTTATTTCTCTTTTTTGGGTTGGAATAGGTACGTGAGCATTCTCCCAGGTGCACGAACAAGGAACAAACGCCACCAAAACAACACGCCAGGAAAACGTTTCGCACCATATCGGCCCGCAGGCAACGATCGAGAAAGACCCTCCATGCCGTACCATACTGCGAATGACAGACAAACCGCTCAGAACAAGATGGCATTATTAAGAAACAACCTCCATAACCTGGGACTGGGCGGCGAGCCCATGGAACATACAATCTCTCCAACACAGGCAGAACATGAGCACAAAAGGCTTGCACGTATGCTCGCCATGGCAATCCTATGCCTATTCAGCCGACTAAATATTACAAATCACGTCCGAACTTTGTTCAAATTAATAAAGTCCCAGGGTGCCCAGAAGCACAAGCAACAAAATTCATCGCCCAACCCGTCAACGGTCTCTCCAGGCCGAACAATGAAGGGACTAGATAGACTGGGACTCACCCCGACGCACACATAAACTATGCAGCAACGCATAATACTCTCCAACAAAAGCAAAATTAAATGAACCGGGACTCACCCCGATGCACGCATAAGCCATGCCGCAATGAGTAATATTTCCAATAAAAGTGATGCAACAGGCAAGTCTCACCACTCCACCGAGCCCACACGTCGCCAAGCAAAGTTAAAGTTCGACCTCGCTCGAACTCATAATGGGTTACAATTCGACCTCGCCCGAATTAACAATCTTACGGCCATCGGCCATCGGCCATCGCTAAACGAAAGGGAAGTTCGACCTCGCTCGAACTCATAGCGGGTTACAATTCGATCTCGCTCGAATGAACACTCTCACGGCCATCGGCCATCGCCAAACGAAAGGAAAGTTCGACCTCGCTCGAACTCATAACGGGTTACAATTCGACCTCGCTCGAATTAACGCTCTCACGGCCATCGGCCATTGCCAAGCAAAGTTAAGTTCGTCCTCGCTCGAACTCATAACGGGTTACAATTCGACCTCGCTCGAATTAACACTCTCACGTCCATCGGCCATCGCCAAAGAAAGGAAAGTTCGACCTCGCTCGAACTCATGACGGGTTACAATTCGACCTCGCTCGAATTAACACTCCTACGACCATCGGCCATCTCCAAGCAAAAGTAAAATTTGACCTCGTTCAAGTCAACAAGACAAAGTTCGACCTCACTCGAACTCGTAACGGGTTACAACTCGACCTCGTTCGAATTTACACCCATATGGCCCCCGGCCACCGCTAAAGAGAAACTCGACTTTCATTCAAGTTATTAAGTTTTGACCCTGCTCGGGCTAACGAGATAAGATCCGACCTCTTTCGAATCAGCAAGCTCAATTCAACCTCGTTCGAATTCCAACTAAAAGTCAGAGACTCATCACGGGGAAATC